CCTCCTAAACCCTTTACTCCCCTCCTAAACCCTTTACTCCCCTCCTAAACCCTTTACTACCATCCTAAACCCTTTACTACCCTCCTAAACCCTTTACTCCCCCTAAACCCTTTACTCCCCTCCTTAACCATTTACTTCTCTTATGAACTCTTTCTTTACTCCCCTTCCATTCCCCCACCCACAGGACCCTTTTCGTTTTCCTACTCTTTCTCTTGTTCCTTATATGTTTTCCTGACCTTTCTTATTACTCTTCTAATTCCTGATTTTTTTCAATCATGTTTTTTATTATAAAACTTTATTCTTAGTATTCTAGTTTTCTTCTTTTTCAGAGGTTCCGCTAAATTGAAAGTTGTGCAGTTACATATGCAAACTTATTACAATTTTATAACTTTAATAATTCAAGATATATATTATAGAATTGCTACCTTTAGAGTTAAACTGAGGAAGACCAAAGACTGAAGAGACAAAAATTTTTAAATAAACTTTTTCTTAAAAATTCCACTGTTCTTGACAGCTGAATACACTGTGAGCTGTGAAGCACTGTTTACAAACACACGTCTGCTCTTGTTGAATGTTTATGATGAACTGAGGTCTCTCTAGATTCTGGTTGGTTTCCTGAAGGTCTCTAGATTCTACCCAACAACCTGTGTGTGTGTGTGTGTGACGGTGTGTGTCTGTGTACTACAGGTACCGTAAACTTTCACTATATCACACACACTGGATATATATATATATATTGTATAGATATATATATGCATATTTGGAGGTTCAGATCCAATAAACGTAAAAACGGCTGAACCAATCGGGTCCACATTTTTGTGGGGCCTTACATGAATTGTCCGGATTAAAAAAATTGCCTTTAAACTTTTTTTTTCAAAATCCACAAACACAAAATATCGGAAGCCTACTTTATATATTTTTTTTTTATGGTAACTCACATGACTTTGCAAAAGGGGCATATTTGGTCAAAATGAAAAAAAAATATTTGCCATTTTTTTGTAAATTTATCAAACGTGAAATGAAAATCCGCAAAAATAATTTAGTTTAAAGAATGCTAAGAAAAAATTAATCTCAAGCCTAGTATCTATGTAAGCATGTAAAAAGAAGGGGGTCTGCTGAATTTTTTTGCAATTAAATAATGCCTAGTAAACAAATTCCTAAATTATGAAGAAAAAAACTAAATTCCCATTATTTTCATCAGCAAATTAAAAAAAGTTTGAAATAGCACAAATTCTAGACAATAATCCTGCTTCTCGACGTACAACTCTAAACGATGTACTGTAAGTCTTATACTACACATTGTACAACAGTACATAGGCGTATGTCCCTAGTCCCCCCCCCTTGAATCGTCTAGAAAATATTAATCTTTGATATTCTCTGAAAAATCTTCTATAAGCGCTGATTATTTAAATTCCTAAATAAATATTTCTTGTATCATTAATATGCGTCCTGATTGCCATAATGGGTAAATTTTTGTTCTGCTCCAGACTCATCTGTGATTTAATAAATATGTACATTGCCATACTTCCCCTGAGCCCAAAACTTAAGACAGGGTATTGTTATGAAAACCAGTTTTAAAACCCGGGTTTTACGAATGGGGTTAGGCAGTTTTGTGGATATCAATATTTTTGTTTATGAAATATTTTTTTATTTATTTTCTTTATATTCTCCATTTTTGTTGAATCTCTTAAATCAAAATCTACAAAATATTAAGACCCAAAAAAGGAAACTCGAGAGTTTCGTTCAATGATACTCTTTTAAATTTTGGGCTCTGTTACCCTGTACTCAAGGAAACCATCCTTCACATCTTGCTTTAATCGTTTCACAAGATTGCATTCAAACAGTCTTTATACTCTTTTAAAAGACTGTAAATATGTTCATAAATACTGTAATACGCGACTTTCTAAAGACGAGAAACAATTTGCAGGAAGATAATACCAAGAAATAACTGAAGATAAAAGTCTTGGTTTTATTTGGGATTTAAAAGATATAGGGATGGATTATGAACATCCGAGTTGGCGGCAAAGAATCAATTTCTTTGAAAATAATAATAAATAAAATATACTTACAATGAATAAATTGGCACTTTAAATAGGACCTTACATATTTGAGTTATCAAGTAGTGAGTAAGTAATTATTTATTCATGAAATATATAAAAATTAAGCGTTTCAGTTGCAAACATTTTAAAACCTCAAACAAAAGAGGCTGTGGTGAATATTTCCCTCCAATTCTCAAAAAAGGAAAAGAAAATTTACAATTATAATTGTTTCTATACATTTTAAATCAAAACACTAATTAATAATTGCATTTTTATGTTTTTTTTTTCATTATTTAAAATTATCCAAATATCTTTGACTCATCGACCAAGTTACGCTGATATACGCATTATATAGTTCTACGCGCTGATATATACGCATCATATAGTTTCTACGCGTCTATACTTGAGTCGGAAAGTTCTAGAAAATCAACCCGGAATGGCCGCATACAATTTTGGTTACGAAATCTATACACTATACGGACTATACAGGGTTAATGTTTGTCACGTATTTATTCAGAACTAGCTTTGGGAACCCGGCCCTGTCCAGATTTCTCATAGTTACTCCCGCCATTTACCCGCACTTGGTCGATTTTACCGGGAAACTAAATTTTTACATTAAAAGTCGACCCATTCAACTTAAAATCTAAAAAGCTAAGAACATTCATGTGGCTCTCCCGAGTTCCTAAATCAAAATTTGAGGCAAATCGGTCCATGGGTTCTCGAGTCATGATCGGCCAAACAAACAAGACAGACAGACAAACAGAGATTACAACTTTATATTTATTGAGAATGTTTAGAGGTCGAATCTTTTGTGCGACATAGTGCTCATCTACAGGTAGGGTTTTTAGCAAAATTTCGCAAAATTTTCGCAGTTTTTTTGCATTTGTTCGTAGAAAAAAAGGAAAATTTCGCATTTTTTCACGAAATAGATTAATGCGAAATTTCGCGAAAAACAACTGTGGGGTTTTTCACAAATTTACGTATCGTTTTTGCATGGTTTCGCAAAATTCATTTTCGCGAAAAATTTTGTAAATAAGAAAGAAACTTTTTGCAAAACTTTGCATTTTTCGCGAAAGTTATCGTTCGCTGGAAACCCAAAGGCTATCTACAAAGGACGAGAATTTCAAGAGAACTTCACTAGAATCTAGAAGAGGCTGATTCATTTTACTCTATATAGTTTGTTGGTGTACTGTACAGTTTGCTCTAGCTCACCCCCGACTGTTTGAAATCAAAGGTGTTTTGGCAACACTTTTTTAATTTACGGATTTGTTGGTCTATACTTTTTCCTTCGAAATGTATATGCCGAAAAAAGTGTTTAGGAAAAAAGGCTAAAAATGTTGTTTAATGTTAAATGTTAATGTTTAATGTTAATGTGTTTAATGTTAATGTGTTTAATGTTAATGTTAAATTTACGTGAGCTGCTAAAGAGTCAGCCCGGTACTTGAACTGCACCGGAGTTTACAGTCTATTAATGAAGAATTTGACAAGAAAAAAATAAATTTAAAACTGCAGGAGCTTTTCATCTGTGAAATCTTATCTTCCCACCTGAATCCGTGAGGGGGGGGGGTGCATTATTTTACAGATGACTCTGATAATAATGTATATATCATCTAATACATACATGCTTTAGATTTTAATCACGGAGTTTATCATATAAACCATGAAGTTTATCATCTAAACTATTGTTTTTATCATCTAAATCACGGAGTGTATCATCTAAACCATGGATTTTATTGACTAAACTATGGAGTTTATTGACTAAACTATGGAGTTTATCATCTGAACTATGGATTTTATTGGCTAAACTATGGAGTTTATCATCTAAACCACGGAGTGTATCATCTAAATCACGGAGTGTATCATCTAAACCACGGAGTGCATCATCTAAACAATGGATTTTATCTACTAAACTATGGAGTTTATCATCTAAATCACGGAGTTTATCATCTAAACCATGGATTTTATCTACTAAACTATGGAGTTTATCATCTTATCACGGAGTCAATCATGTAAATCATGGAATTTATTATCTATAAACTATGGTGTTTATCATCCAAACCATTTGGAAATTATCATCTAAACCTATGCGGTTTTGTTATCTAAACCATGAAGATTATCATCTAAACTATGAAGTTTTGTTATCTAAACCATGAAAATTATCATCTAAAGTTTTGTTATCTAAACCATGAAAATTATCATCTAAATTATGAAGTTTTGTTATTTAAACCATGAAAATTATCATCTAAATTATGAAGTTTTGTTTTATAAACCATGAAGATTATCATCTAAATTATGAAGTTTTGTTATCTAAACCATGAAGATTATCATCTAAACTATGAAGTTAGTGAGATTATGTTATCATCTAGACTTCTCCAAGCTGTTTATCTGTTAGTCCCATTCTATAAATTTCACTATCTTTCTTTCTTGTATTTTTTTATCTGTCCATTCTAGCGCATTGAATGCTGAGTTTGCTCTGACCTCGAATACATGAAGAGAGTGCATTGAACCTGAGTTTTACTTTCTTTCAAAACTACTATTTTTTATCCAACCTAGGCTCCTGATCAGGACCCTTCTCCTTCTCCTGATCAGAACCCTTCTCCTTCTCCTGATCAGGATTCTACTCCTTCTCCTGATCAGGACCCTATTACTTCTCCTAATCAGGACCCTTCTCCTTCTCCTGATCAGAGCCCTACTCCTTCTCCTGATCAGAGCCCTACTCCTTCTCCTAATCAAGACCCTTCTCATTCTAGTGATCAGGATTCTACTCCTTCTCCTGATCAGGACCCTATTACTTCTCCTAATCAGGACCCTTCTCCTTCTCCTGATCATGACCCTACTCCTTCTCCTGATCAGAACCCTACTCCTTCTCCTGATTAGAAACCTACTCCTTCTCCTGATCAGGACCCTTCTCCTTCTCCTGATCAGAACCCTTCTCCTTCTCCTGATCAGGACCCTTCTCCTTCTGATCAGAACCCCACTACTTCTCCTAATCAGGATCCTACTCCTTCTCCTGATCAGAACCCTTCTCCTTCTCCTGATCAGAATCCTACTCCTTCTCCTAATCAAGACCCTTCTCCTTCTCCTGATCAGAACCCTACTTCTTCTCCTGATCAGGACCCTTCTCTTTCTCCTGATCAGGACCCTTCTCCTTCTCCTGATCAGGACCCTACTCCTTCTCCTGATTAGAAACCTACTCCTTCTCCTGATCAGGACCCTTCTCCTTCTCCTGATCAGAACCCTTCTCCTTCTCCTGATCAGAATCCTACTCCTTCTCCTGATCAGGACCCTTCTCCTTCTCCTGATCAGAACCCTTCTCCTTCTCCTGATCAGGACCCTTCTCCTTCTCCTGATCAGAACCCTACTCCTTCTCCTGATCAGCTCCTTCTCCTGATCAGAACCCCACTTCTTCTCCTGATCAGAACCCTTCTCCTTCTCCTGATCTGAACCTTACCCCTTCTCCTGATCAAGACCCTGCTCCTTCACCTGATCAGGATCCTACTCCTTCTCCTATAATAACACCTCCTAGTCCCTAGATCTTCTATAGTTCTACTCCTATAATTACAGCTCCTTGTTCCTAGGTCTCCTATACTCCTACTCCTATAATTACAACTAGTTCCCATATCTCCTATACTCCTACTTCTATAATTACAACTAGTTCCTATA